AGTGCATTGATTGCTTGTAGGACATCTACAGGCAGTGTGTCCATTTTAATGTCCAACATATTTACATCTCACTCTGAGGCTTTGGCACAGCTTCCAAAGATATCTGGCTCATTGTCGCTGCAGTAATTAACACAAACAGGAGTCAGCGAGGTTTCTGTGAATAACAACAGGCTGCGTGTTTTAACTGTGACGTATAAACAGTATGCTTGTTTGTTTAGCAGAAATATTCTGATTGCATTGAGACAGATTATGTGATTTGGTGATCAGGACGAGTGTTTACACAGTTACATGATTGTGATCTGAAAGATTTAATTTCCATTTGCATTCAGTGTTTTCTGAGTGTGGTGTCACGTGTCCTTACGACCAGGATGTTAATAACAGACAAGAAAAGGGGTTAGAGTGATTTTTCTTTTAAAAATACCATTTGCGCTGTTACTATTTTTTTTTCTTTTCTTTAGCATAATAAATAAACCATTTACCTTTTAAAGTAAGAATAATGCTAGGAATTAAAAATGTTAGGTGCACCATATAAAGCGTGAAAAACAATATTTCAATGAGAAAAACATTAAATAAAACTCATTTCAGCATATTTGGTTTACATCACTGGCTTCAGTGTGACTGCTGGTACATGAACTACTTTATTGTGACATTTCACATGAATAATAAAGACATATTTTCATACAGTGCAAGCTATTAACTCACTGATTTTTTTAAAAAAGTGTGTCATTTAAAGAAAAAAAAAATCTTACTGACCTTTTTAAGCTGAAATGTGGTTTGTAGCGTTCTCAAGTGGTGTCAGACAAGGTGCATGTCATGGCTAATGTGAATCAACTGAAAAATAAATGTAAATATTAACACATAATTTTTCTTTTTATATTTGTGTAAACGTTGCAGGGCTGTTTGAAAAGATCTCTGTGGGAGGACTTGATACATAAATGAAACATAGTGGCGCTTCGTCTGCGTATGACTTTCACACTCCATGATGTAAACCTGACTGAGATGAAATGGAAACACCTGTTTCCAGAAGCGTTGGCTTCTGACTCTTCACAGTGAGGCTAAAAGGACTCTCTGACGAGCGCTGCGAATGTTAAGAGCTGACCGGGGACATCAGTGGATACCACTCAGGCTCTCTCAGCTTAATAACACTTCATAGTGTGTAAATAATAAGAGGTGAAGTTCTTCTTTTCAGTGATGAGGCCCTTTAGATTGTTGGCACCTGTCAATATTACCTTTATATCTTGTATGCTTAAAATCGTTTAGACAGTTTGTTTAAAGCTTTTGGCTTAAGAGAAATAAGATGAAACAAAAAAAGCTTTATTCTGTGTGTGTTATAGCAACAGAAGGACGTTATGTTATCTACCCATTGTTACGAAAAGCAGAAAATCCTGTATAGACGTGTGTTTGAGTATTTTAGCAAAATATTTCATGAACCAATAGACATATTTGAATAAAACTTTCTGAAGGTAATTATTGACCACACATCGGTAACTGATTAACGTTGGGCGTCAACCTGATTCAAAGATGTGCACCTCAACTAATCAAGCTCAGCAGTCTCACTAAATGAATACAACCCTGTCACTGTGCAAGTACTGAGCTTGAACTATGTGTGGTTGTAGCTGAGAGTCAATCCTAACCCTTTCTACAAGCACACGTTGTGCAAAGCGTTTGCCTAATAACTTGGCAATGAATGTTTGGGTCAACCCTGTTGTTGTTGTTTTTTTTAGCAAAATATCTTATAAACCACTAGACAAAGTATGACGAAGTTTTCAGAAAGTAATCAGTGAATCTGCACTGTTTTAACTTTTGGAGTGAATTCAATTCTAGGTGTTTACTGCAGCTAATCAACATCGCTGGTAGATAAATGACTATAACTCAGTCAGTTGAACCATCCATCCATCCATCATTGCATCATTCCATCCATTCATCCATCCATTATGTTTACCCGCTTCTTCCTTTTCAGGCTGCGGGGGTCACTGTGTCCATGTCCAGCTAGCAGGGACACCCTGGACAGGTCTCCAGTCCATCACAGGGACACATAGAGACAAACGAGACAAACAACCATTCACTCTCTCTCTCACACACCTAGGGACAATTTAGAGTTACCAATCAGTCTAACATGCATGTTTTTAATCTGTGGGAGGAAACTGGAGTACCTGGAGAAAACCCACGCATGCACGGAGAGAACATGCAAACTCCACCCAGAAAGGTCCCAGGCTGGGATTTAGTATGATGACCTTCTCGCTGAGACAACAGCTCTACCAACTGATCCACCGTGCCACCCCAACTGAACCCATATTAAACTAAAATGTGGCGTGGTATTGGCTGAAAGTCCTCCCCAACACATTGTCCTGCAGTTAACAAAATGTGCAAAATCTTTGTTTAACAATTTATCATAAACTTCTGCAGGCAACATACGTTTCTTCAATGAATGTTTTTTTTTAATTTTTTTATTTAAGATAGAAGTTTGAGGATCTGGACATGTGTGCATGCTTCTATGTAAAACATGAACAAGTGATGTGGTGACTGGTACTGTCATCTCAAAGCACAAGTAAGTCCCACACTCAGCTCATGATTAATACTTATTTCTCCTCACAGTTCAAAAATGTGAATGTCACGTTTGTTGGTGACTAAGTTGATTTTAGAAGTGGGTTTATTCAGGTTGTCTGACTTGTACAGCTCTGTTTTGTCTTGGCATCTTGTTCTGCTTGAGTTGTTCCTCTTGTCAAATAGCAGCTGTGATGGATTTCATTATCCTTGCGAACCTGAACCTAACTCAAACGCTTATAGAAAATGAACAAATTACCAATTTGTTAACTAAGAATCTCTGAAGCCCCAAAGACGACAGCGCAGAAACAGTAACGCTGATACATGGAGATCAGTGTATCTAATTTTGCATAATCCTATGTGGCATACAAACTCCAAAGGATCTTATTTTCACTGTCAGTATGTCCCGGAGCTAAGCTATGTCACACTTTATGATAGCTACCAATCCCACACATCCTCGGATGGTGGTCTCTCTGTACGAGAGAGAGAAAAGTATTTCTGTGTGAAATTGATACTCGGGCAGTTTTACCTCACTGAATCACAAAACAGCTGCCAATAGCAATCATTACACGAGCTCAGAGTGCATGTAGTGTGCATGTTGGAGAGTATAATACACAGCACGTGTGTGGGTGGGAGAGGTACATTGCAAAAGAGGGCAGAGAGACAGCAGTCATGATGGCTTTGATTAGTACACCTCAACATTGATTATTTCACACTTTTCCTTCATGTGAAAAAAAAAAACAAGCTAGAAATCTGATGAGTGTAAATGTTCAACCACAGCTTGCCACTGGATTGCTTTTTTTCTTATTTAACAATTGCAACATAAAATCTGCTGTTTTCCTTGTTTGTACTCATGTTTTGTACATTTTGACCATCGTTGCAGGACTATGCAATGGTGGTTGGTTTTATTGTAGTGGTTAAAGTGTATATGCACACACACACACACACATGCACATTTTTGCAAACAAAACCTGGTCTCAACCAAAATAATGAGCGAGTTAAAAAGTCTTCTAAAAAAGCTGAGTCTTGCTGCGCCACAAACGGAGGAAAGTATGCAGATACTTGTTAGACGTGACATGGATTTTAACAACCGTTTGCTTTTTTTTTTTTTACCGTGTTGTGGCCCTAAATGTTGAACTGAAATATACCCATATATGTTTATAACTATAAATATAAGGACACTTCAAACATTGCATTGTGTTGTTTGCTGCATTATGCTTATTTTCTAAAGTAGCTAAACTTGTGTGATATCCTTGAGGTTGCAGGTCTAGATGCAGTTCACAGTAGGCACTGCCTGAATGGGTTCCTCCCTAATGCACATACCGGGAATAGTCCAATTTGAGCTATTTTAGACCTTTGGTGAAGTTTTAGTCATGGCTGATTATGCTGTTTTATTGGATCATCTTGAGATTTGCATGTGTACTTTGGGGTAAGCATTAAGTTACTTAAGGAGCACTCTTACTAACAGATCTTTGCCAATTATAGAAGAAAATACCCTCTCTCTAAATTTGCTCTTATCACTTTCAGGCCTCATTTTCTTCTGTCTCAGCATGCACTCTCACGGCTGTGTCATTTGCAGATTTCTTTTTTAAACTGCTTGGAGTACTTTCACTCTAACTTCAGAGAAACACGTCTCAGTGGCGTGGCATCTTGCAGCACAGTTTATTACTAGAGCTGTTTGTACTGCCTCTATAGTGGCCATCAATTTAACAACAGGATTTTCTTTTGCCTTTGATCCATCAGTTCAGTCACGACTTCATTTAGAGACATTTCATTTGATAGACATGCTTTGAATTTACTAATAATCTTATGTACTGCACTGTTGCAAAACCTGACACTGCAGGTGTGAACAAGCTCTACAAGAATATGTATATTTTAGTGAGCTTATCTTATTTGAGCGTTCAGTATGTACAATTATTTAAAATGTGTTGTTTTATAAATCACGCTCAAGCCTGAAGATAAAACTGCAGCAAGAATCTTAAAAAGACAATACTTCAAAGTTGGTGTACTTACTACTTCTTTTCTAAATAAACAACTGTGTACATTACATACATTGTCTCTCAACAACAACAAAAAAAAAAAGAATAAAAGAAATGAAACTGTGCAGATGACCTGACTGAACATTGTTGGATTTTTTTTTACCTGTATTATTGAGCATGAACGTTGATTTTCTAAATGAATGTATACTTCTTTAGTCCATCCATGAGTGGCATTTCAAAGGCCTGTGAATCTTTGTGGATTCTCAAATGTTGCACATGCAACTGCTCTTCAGTCGAATATAAAATAAAAATTTAAACCAAATAAACATTAGCTGCCAAGCCACACCTCTGCAGCCAAATGCACTGCTGCAGAAACTGGAAGACACTAACTCACTTTTATTGTTGTGAGCTTAAACATATAAAGAGTGCAGATTATAGTTTCAACATAAATGTCATTCTTTCTTCCCTGTTTTTCAGAACAAGAGCTTGAAAAACAAGCTACTCTCTGGGAACAAACTTTGCAACGCCTATGCTGAAGAGGTAAGGATTTTTAATTAGAGTGCTCTGTCTTATCACAGGTGTAATGGTTTCTTAGATCCGGCCAATTGTTTGTTGATCCCTGAATTAGTCCAGCTGGAGAGCAATGTGCACAGCTCGTTTTCTTGTGAGCAAGCAATTCAACAAAATAAAACAAAGCATGTGACACCTTAAAAAACAAATACATTTGTTCAGCTGTGAGGGGAATTTTTTTTTTTTTTTGAGAAAATCACGAGTTTATTAGATTTGATTAGGTATTTGAACAAACGAACATTTGGTGCTTTTTGAAAGATCTGTCATTTATTAAGAGCAATGTAGAAATAATCCCATTCTATGAAACAAAACACTGACTACAATTTACAGTAAGGCCCCCCTTATATAAGGCTGATAAATAGCTTATAGATAGGTTATTAATTCCTCTATAAACACTTTATAAATCATTAATAACTGCTTATTATGTGTTAATTAATGGTGACAGAGACAAAACAGACCAGTCTCTTGCCAAATAATGAGCCACATCTGTTCACTTATATAATCCATCTAGAGTTGTTATACTAAACATTTCACACTAAGTTACTACCTGTAAGCACAAATGATTTGTAAACATATTTCTTTAGCATACAATATTGTACTTTATCACTGCATTATAAGTATCTACAACTAATATTACATCCTAAGAAAAACAAGTTTACAACTGCTTATTGTGCTTACAAGGTAGTAATTTACTGCATTTATATATATATATATATATATATATATATATATATATATATATATATGTATATATATATGAACTGTTTATTTGCTATCAATAACAGGAGCCTTATTGTAAAAGTGGTATCAAAAAATAATTAGTAACACATTTTTTCCCAGTGTTGTTACAGCCTGGCTCTAGGACCATAACAGTCCCAATAGTAGTATTTTTCTGTTTTGTTTTGGTTTTTCAAACCAAGTACAAGTACAAGTACTCGAACGGATACTTGCTGATAGTGTCAACTGATACCGAGTAGTTAAAACTTAAACGTTACACAACATTTCTTTTTTTAGGAACACAGGGAAGAATTAATCTGTCTTAAAATCACCTGTGTTTCCCTTAAAATATATTTAAACTCTGAACATATTTTTTATTTTTTGTCCCCACTTACCTGCAAGTGGAAGAGGAAATTACATCCCTACTCATGAATGTATTATCAAGCTAAAGTATTGGGTGTTTTTATGAGTAAAAGTATAATTACTTGACGTTATTAATAATGGGACACCACCATTTTTTTTAAACTTTCTTGTGGTGAGATCATCTCTTTTTTTTTTTTACTTTTTTTTTTTATCAGTTCTTGAAACTTTTTCTTCTTGGTACACATTCCATACAGTCAAAGGTGAACAATTGTTCTGTTTCTTGACTAACTGCAGCTAAAATGCTTTTTATTCTTTCTATCCATCCATCCATTATCTTTTACCCACTTCTTCCATTTTGGGAAACGGGGGCCGCCGGTGCCCATGTCCAGCAATCATTGTGCGGGGGGCGGGGGACACCCTGGACAGGTCTCCAGTCCATCACAGGGGCACATAGAGACAATCAATCAACCTTTATTTAGACAGGTAAATCCCATTGAGCCTCGAGGACTCATTTACAAGAGAGACCTGACAAACAACCATTCACTCTCTCACTCACACCTAGAGACAATTTAGAGTTACCAATCAGTCTAACATGCATGTTTTTGGTCTGTGGGAGGAAACCGGAGAACCTGGTGAAAACCTACACATGCACGGAGAGAACATGCAAACTCCACACAGAAAGGCCCCCAGACCGGGATTTGAACCAGCAACCTTCTCGCTGAGAGGCAGCAGCTCTACCAGTTGCACAACATTTTAATTTGAACTTTCACTTTGGTCAGATTGACCTTTGTTGGAAATCTGTGCCACACATTCGTTTTCCTGTAGAACGATGTAAAACACTTTGAAAGAATATTGACGCCTGACGTGCGTGTATCTCAGTGTCTACAAGGTTTTTGTAAGAAGTTCTCATGCAGTGCTATAGTCCTTTCCCTTCTTGTTCCTCTTCTTTTTCCCTCCGTCAGTTCAAACTAGGTTATACAGACAAGCACACACACCTGCTTGATTTTGGCAGTTCAGTGACTTTCAGAGAATCCTGTACTTAATAGTAATCCTTTTGATGGCTGTGCAGAGCAATCTGAGGGGCCATGGTTGTAGTGAGAGTAGCTTTGAGTGAATTTCATCTGTGTCATTTTTGCTGTCACTTTTCATCTTTTTCTGCTTCAACTCTGCTGTCAGGTGCTACAGCCAGCCCCGTCCACCTGGTTCACATCCTCATTGAAGCCTCAAGCTCTTTCTTTTTCTTTATTTTCTTTTACTTTTACCAGCCTGCTGACCAAAGCCAATGCTGTAATTTGGCCATGAAGTGTCATGCAAGGCTGAAGGTCTGGCAAGCATCTTGATGACATGCTCAAATCAGGGCAGATACAGCTGTGTAATTGTGAATTTTATAGTCATGCAGTCGTTCAGTTGGGGGTCTGAACCTTTTACTGTGTCCGAGTCGAGATATGTTGAACGTTTAAAGGCTTTGACAAAATACATATATACATTAGATACATTACATACATTACATACATACATTATACATACATTAGAGTATTGTTGCTGACAAGGTAATAAATTCACCATTTAATCAGTGAATGTGACTTGTTTAACTGGTCTTAGGTTAACTTAGATGAGATGCAGCTTGGCCTGTATTAGTACAGATACCACTTATTAATTGCCCTTACATATTTGCTTTGTGTTATTATTATTAACTCCAGACTTGAGTAATTCAACAAAGTTAAGTCAGGTCCTCTGAACACTTTTGTTTGTTGAAATGTTTCATCTTTCATCCACAAGACTTCATCAGTCCAAGACGAACGTTTCAACAAAAATAAGCCATCCAGAGGACCTGACTTAACTTTGTTGTATTTTTTTTACCTGCTTTACTGAGCATGAACTTTGATGTTTTGAACCACTTTGGCCATAACTGCCTCAAACGAGTCGACGGGACTCCAGAAATCAACTGAGCGCCATCAAACTGGTTGACCCACCATGTGAAGGTGCTTATAAGACTAAATTTGTTGTGGCTCCTCGGACTGATGAAGTCTTCTGGATGAAAAACAACATATTTCAACAAAACTAAACCGTCCAGAGGACCTGACTTAACTTGGTTGGATTTTTCTACCTGGATTATTGAGCATGAATAACTTGAGTAATCTTTCTGTTCACCTATTTTTAGTTAGTTACAAATGCACAATTTTCATTTTATGTTATATCAACATAGTTTACAGTATTAAATATGTGCCTGTAGGAGCTAACACTGATTGCAATTGTGATTGCAATACTAACTGACATGGACTGATTGATCAGCTACAATTCTTTTGAAGATCCAGTTTTGGAAATCACAGTATGCAGCATTTAGAGCGCTTTAGCCGTCCTCTATATGAGCTGATTTTCAACTAGCCCCAACCACAGCTCTCCTTTTGTTTGACTTAAATAATGTAATGGCTGTTGTCACTGATGCTGCTCTGTTTTGTACCCCAGGGGTTTCTTGCCTCTGCCTGTCTAAGGCATTGCTTTTATGCTTATTTAAGGGTAAGAACAGAGCGGAGCCGAAACACTAGATCCAAAGTGACAAAAATTTGCAGCTGCAATTGCAGGTGCTTATACCTGCTGTTTGTCTCCCGCGTTCTGTGCAGAAATAAAGCAGTGGAGAACGTAGGATTTATTTATTTTTTTTAAGTCAGGACTTGCAGGGACATCAATTTTAAATAGGACAGTTTAAAACAAGCAGTACACAGATGTTCCTCATCACTGAGGGGTTTGAAAAGTGAATGTTTGTAGTTTTCATGAGTGTTTTCTGGACTGGAATTGAACAGGAAATGCAAGTAAACCTTAATGTTTTTGGTGCAAGATATCCAAGTGTGTGGAAATTGCATTGTGTAGAAGAAGTGAGGTTTAAAAAAAAAATTTTCTTTTATTTTTTCTTAACCAAGGCAGCACAGAGTGGTGGATTCTGGCAAGTAGAAGGAGCAATTTTATCCACCACAATGTCCAATGGCGGAGCCAAGGGGTGGCTAAGGGTGGCCTTGGCCATCTAATTAAATCTTTGACCGCCACAATTATTGGAAGAAACTAAACTTTTAAGCAATATAAAAACTAAAAAGCATTGTTTTCTCAAATGATCAAGGTGGCTGGTTTATATATGGCACAATGTCAGACGGTGGCCATCTTGGATTCTGACTTGGCAACCCAAGTTTTGATAGTGACTTTTCGTACTCCTAAATCTCACTTATTTTTCCCAAGCATCATGCTCACAACATAGAGAGATGGACAGATGGACACAGGGTGGGGCGGACTCAAAATTAAATATGAAATGTCATTATGCTTTGAAATATTGCCAAGGTAGCCATAGCTATGGACTACACTTGCTTTGAACGTTTTTAATAGATTTGTCCTCTGGCATGTTAAAAAGAAAAAAAACAACTTTTCAGTCATATTTGAAAGTAAAAAAAACTAATACTTTACAATTTCCATTGTCCCAGTGAACAATTCACAGTGAATAAAGCCATTTGAGGGCATAATTAATTTCATGTCATGCATCAGGAACAACAGGAGAATTATATTAGTGGGAAAATCCCCACTGGCTCCAACAGCATCAGCAATAATGGACTAATCTGTGTAGTCAACAGTACATGAACACACAGCTCCAAAGTCTTCAAAGAGAGCTCAGGGTTTGGGAGCTTTGATGTTGAAAAGCTTTTCATCAGCCCTGATGTCTGCTCCGACTCTAAGGTTACTCTTTCATTTCCAGAGAGACAGAAGAAATTGGAGTTAAAAATTCTGGCCTCTTTTCTATCAGAAATCCTCCAGCTGAACATCTCTGACATGTTGCCAGCTAATCTTGTCTGAGCCATCATCACACATTCAAACCCTGGAATGATGATGGCTGGTGGTTACACGCTGCA